AAATTCTCCCCATGTTTACAACTATTATTTTGCATATTTATTTGTATTATTACTATTACTTTTAATATCTATATTTTAGGTATATTATAATACATAGGAAGTTATGTGTTTGTCTCAAATCCAGTGAGCAGTGACTATATATTATATTCTTATATCCAAAAAATAATTGAATTGATTGACAATGATATTATACATTAGTTATATTTATGAACGTCATAGATCGCAATTATGATTTTCGACACTTTCTATAATTGTATATAGTGATTAGTAGAGATATTAGTATTCTCACTGAATAAAAATCATTTGGAACATATTCGGTGCTTAAATTAGAGGAGAAGATAACCTTATCATATTTTTTTAAACACATCATCCTCTTTTAGTCGATATGATATGATATCAAATTTTCAGAAATGAACATTTTTGGTTTTAATAATCTGCACCAATTTTTTTTCCAATTAAGTTAATATATTTAGTATTATATTATTTTCGGATGATGTAGATAACAACATCATTTTTTGCTTCTGATTTAAAAACGAAAAATAATTCATTTTTTCTTGTAAATCAAGGTTGTTTTCAAGTGTTCAGAATATTATGAGCAGAATAAGGTGTTCGTAAATAGCCAAATGTTTGTTACCCACTTGCCTAGAAAATTTCGTTGAAGTTATAACCTAACTTATATTACTTCAATGCTTGAAAGATGTCGTAATTAGAATATCAACCACGCTTGACATTAAATCTTGTCTATTTGAGGGTAATATATTGAATTAAACATCAAACAGTTTATTTGATTATAATAATGCACAATAAATTAGGAATGCAAATTTATACGCAATGTTAAGTATAATTGAACGCAAATGTTTTGAGTAAAAAATCGTTTTTGTTAATTATTTAATTGTTCTCATTAATAAAAAATTTAAAACTTCACTATACTTAGCTTACAAATACGCAATTGTAATGAAATAATAACATAGAGTTATAAATTATAATCTAATAAGTAATAGTACTTATGTAGTGCTACATGTGTGTGTATCTTTAATTACATATTATAGGTATAACAATAATGAATCGTAGATAAATAATACTTATTATTTAATATATATATATTTTCCTTTATTTTATATCCTTTGGTTTGAATTTTAATAACTAGTAATTAAAAAAATATATTAATCCATTTTTTTATGTAATACAGTTTATTCTTGTTAAATACAAATCATTTTAATCCTACATTTATTTAAATAATTACTAACATAAAATATTTTATTATCACTAAATGACTTCTACAGTCTCTATATTAAAGGTATTATCGTATGCAGTAAACTATAATAGAATCTATGTCCAATAGTACAGCACATATACATTATATGGCTATACATATTAATACTTTTAATGGGAATCAATATCAATTAAAGATTTCTTGAATTTTATAATGTTTTATCTTTTATTAATAGTTAATTTTTAGTGAAATAATGTTTATATATTATACATTATTAAAGCTTTTCAGTCTCTGCAATGTTTCATTTCATGATTTTTGTACCTAGTTTTTTTTAATACTAGTGTGTGATGGGCTTTGAAATAGTTATTTTAATTGGATGGATGAAAGTTATTTTAATAATATTGTATACTGTAATGGTGATTTTCACCATCAGAATAATGTCGTAAATCAGAGAATTACAACATATGTAACATTCCCATGATGGCATTATACTCGGTTAACTACTCCGGTAGTTATCTTACATATAGGTACTGAATGAACTTATTAAAAGTGTGTACATGTTCGCTGTGTATTTTATATTCTAAGCTGTTCATAAAATATAGCTAATTTGAATTTTGATATTTCAAATTTGATAAACTTATTTGGGAAACTTATTCCGTTTAGTAAAATTGTCTGTTTAACGGAGTATAAGTTTGATAGTCAAATTTAATTTGATTCAAATTTATTTCATTCTATGTAACGAGATTCCCTTGTAATAAGAATTTTTCTGTTGCCAATGAGACATCGTAATATGGAAGTTTCACTGTATAGTTTCACAATAATATTTTTAAACTACAAAAAAATAACTGAAATCGTTATTCTCCGTTTAAATATCTATAATTTCGTCAAAATTTGAACAATATAAGAATTGCAGTATTTATGCATTTTTTTGGATTATTCAGTTACACTATAAAATACTTACGAGAAACTAATTGATTTAAAATTTAAATTCTAAGCTATACAAATTGAACATCTTATACATTTTTAACAACAAAAAATTGTTGTGATTATGATGAATTTTGTGAAAATTTGAACTTTCAATGCTTATTAAAAAAATCATCGAGACTTTTATTTTATGTATTCTTCAAGAAGATAATGGGCCTAACTCGTGGGGGCTTATGTACATTTAATGTTCTAACTGCTATTATAACAACTTACGAGGAACCTTGTATTACATTTTCGAGGTTTTTGAAAAATAACTGATTGCTGACATTGACCAGATTTTGAATAGTTGAATTATTGAAGAAAAATAGGAGTACGTGTATGCTTGCAGGTAACATCTTGTATATATTATGTAGTATACATTAATTGACATCTAAATAATGTATACTGTATATAGGGAGTAACGTAAAGTACCTAGGAGAGTGTACCTATAGGTACAACTATAAAATAAAAGTTTTTCTTGCGATTAATTATTTTAATATTTTAAACAATGGTTAATAATACAAAAAGTAATAAAAGTATGGCTTCATACCATAGTATGGCATAGGTACCAAACTGCCATTAATGTGTTAGAAAAAAATGTCATTATATTCTGTAAATATAATATTGTGTTCCATGTAAATATATGTAATAGCTATAGCTATAATATGTAAAGGTTTTTAAGCATCTACTTATATATTATATACGAGATAAATTCATAGATAATTTTAGTTCTGTAATGGTAACACGTTAAGGAGAATATTTAGTCAGGGAGCTACAGATGGTTTGACCTTACCCATTTCAGACTTTATTTTGTTGTAATAATCTATAGAATCGGGTTTATACTGAGTACAATAAAAAAATCGGCATAAGTGTACATCAACCGATCTTAGCTCACAGCCACCAACTCCAAATGATTCTAGATTATTTAAAAATATTATTAACACGTTCACGGACACCTCATTTTTTGATATAATTTATGTATCTACTTCAGAAAAGCACTTTTTTATTACTGCTATAGCAGTAATATTTTAGTACTGTTATAAAAGTATTGACCTGCTGCATATTTTTTTTTTTAGTAATTGGTCATTACTCATTTCTGTTATAAAAATTGACTAATAGAAATTTGGACTTAAACAAAAAAAAAATGTTTAATCTTAAATGGATAAGGACAAACTGTCAGTAGCTCCTGGACTAATATTATGATTTGAGGCAGTTGGACATTGTGACAAGTCTTGTGCGCATAATAATAGAGTATAAGTAAACTATTATTATAGTAATATATATATAGGTATACAGTTAGATAAGGCCATTCATTATGAGGCCCCTTAAAAAACTGATTCATGGGCCTATAGTGTGCACTGAGTCAACTTTATTATTGGTTCCATGGTTACCAAACGGTTATTTTAATAATAACATACAAATTTAACACTTTATGTTCGTATTTTTTTTTTCGTAATTCCTGATTATTTCATTAAAAGTACACATTGAGAATTTTAAATTTTGACCTCCATAAAGTACCAACCACATCTAATTTCTACCAAAAACTTCCTTCAACGTTTTTGAGCAAGGCTCAGTTTTTTTTTTACTAGAAAAAGATGAGTTTTCAGATTCAAAAATAAATGAAAAACACACATTATTGTACAATCAATACATTTTTCGCTTCACTCAAAATCTAAAATAAGCTAATAGCCAATAGCCAAAAAGTAACTATAAACAATAAACAGAAGTTTTATCATTTTTACGAGTTTCAGTTTGAGTGTAATAATCATTATTATCCTTTATTGTACCTATGAGTTATGAATTATGATGCACTTCACACGAAATAACAATTAAGATATTTTGATGTATTATTACTAATAATATTTTAATATTAAGTTAAGAAACAAATGTACTTCATGGAGTAAATAATATTAAATTGTACAGAAAGAAATTAAAAAATAAGTAGTAACTACTATGTTTTATAATACACTCTTAGTTCGTCAAAATAGAATATATTTATTTTATTTTTAACGTTTGTAATTTTTGTAATAATTTGATAGAAAATACCACAAATAATCAGCAATATATATTAACATTTTTTCTGTTTTGGCTTTTAATTTAAATAATGTTCATAAATCATATAATAAGCTTGCATCACAATACATTGCATATATGCGTTATATTATAACGTCACTATATTTATGCACGCACAATATAATTTAATACATTTTTAGTTATAACTATGTATGTTTATATAGATTATAAATAGGCATATATTTCTGAGAGCAAACCACTATGCATAGACAATAGTATAATATATATTATATTCATGCATCGTACTAGGCGCAAATGAACAATGCATGGTACATAAAATTGTTCTTTGTTTTTATTCTAAACTAGAAAAAACGATGTTGAAAATAATCAAAGCGAACTCAAAATTAACAGGACCCGCTATACGAACGGTACCTATTATACCTATAAATATAATAATAATAAATGTAATATGTATTATGTGTGCGTGCGAGTTGGGACTTTAATATATACCTATACATGGTTGATGGGAAATTGCGAAAATAAAAAAAAAGAAGTGAAAAAAGACGCTCGTTCTGCCACGTCCCATGAAAACTATCACACAAAATCTATTATCGTTTAGAGGATCCACAAAAACAAAGGCGGTCTCCACGAGAACAACCATGGCAGCCGTGTCTCGGGCGGCGAGGGGCCGAGCCAATGCCGTCGCAGCGCTGCGCACCCTGCCCCCTTCTCATTGGTCCCCCCGCCTGCCGACCCGTTAGCAGTCATCCCGGCCACGGGTCCCTGTTTTCCAGTCAGCCGATCACTAGTACTCCGTAATTTCGTTAGTCACTTCTAGTTTGGCATCGGATGACGCGCTCTTTCGTTAATCGGACACTCCGGTCATCCCAAACCAATTCAATTTAAATCATAATCACCGTCCGACAAACATTTTAGAGTCATTCATTTTTTTTGTTGCGATACTGAAATTTTTTGTCCTCCTCGAAACGTCACCGCTTACATAAAAAATATAAACTAATTATAATCGTCTGTAAAATAATAAATAAATTACGCGTTGTTATTGTATTTTGATTCGTCTGTTCACGAAGCTGCAACCGCCACTGTATATACATCGTCGAGTACCGATAATACCTTACCGATTTCAATAAAAGTTATACGGCCGTGTCGTTAAGTCACACAGTGCATTCGCATCAGTACCGCAGTCGCTGCCACTGCATCAGAGCCATCGCCACTACCGCGTGCCTGCACCCTTGCGGAGCAGCGTCGACGTTTTGCGACCCGGCGTGCAGTAACGGGCACCGCGATTGATCTGAAAGGTGTAGCGGGTGGTGATCCGCACCACCCGCACAACATTTTCCCCGCACTGTTCTCGAGACAGTTGAACTTCAACAACGGGTCACATCATCACGGTGGCACGGCACACTCGTCTTCGGGTAAGTTTGGTGTACCTGTACAACAGGTATAGATGGTATAATGTATACGAACATATTTTGTTATCTATCCGTTCTCTTCACTAGCACTCGCCCAGCGATATAATTGTATTACCTATATATTATAAGTCCACATTTATCATATAGGTACGCTCTGAAAAATTGCGTATTAATATATCCAAGACCCCTAATTAAAAAAAAAACTGTATAGGTTTAGTGCACATTTTTGCCGTTGGTCAACCACAAATGGGTTAAGAATATGTCAGTCTAATGCTCTTGAGGTGAGGGGGGGTTATATTATTGAATAAGCTACAAACGGGTTTTGGGAAATTATAAAACATGTATATAGTTACACAATTGTTTTTATTAGTAAAATATATATAATATGTACCTACATAATATTTAGTATTGTAGTATTATAATATAATATTATAGAGGTATACACAAAAATAGGGGCCACAGAATTTGTATAGGTACATATATTTAAACACGTATATATGTAAATAATACTTAATTACATATATACATATGTTGTCTCCTTGTCTATCTATTATCGTTTGCAATTTCTTACGTATAAATTTGTAATTTTAGTATGGATTTAATAGAATTTTTGTAAGACCACATAATAGTTTGATACTATATTATTATACGTCTATATTAACGTATGTATAGATTATTTTGAGTTGCCGCCGTGAAAAGTGAATGGGTACATCTTGATTTGTATTCTTCTATAGTTTTAAGTATGACTATAATGTGTAGCCATTAAATTGATTTTGTTTTATATAATTTGGTAGGAGGTATCTAAATATATATATCTACATTATTTTATTAGAAGCTGGATACCTCCTTGGATACTAAACTGGAGCTGTAAGGTAATTGGGCGTAACAATGTCGTTTGATTAAAAGTTATAGGGTCACATTTATTTATTACAGTATAAACAAAAAAAATTGAATTTTATAAAGTACAAACCTTAAAGATACATTAAAACATATATTGGTTTGAAACTGATGCCAGGTTACGGTTTCAGAATTTCTGAAGTGGAAATTTTACGGATTCGCTCCTTTCTTCGATCCTATATCTACATCCTGCATTCGGTAATTATGTGTTTATTTTGAGGGGAAGTGCTTCAGCTGATATATATATATAGATTGGAAGATCTCTTTTTATTTAGTGTTGATGTGAGATGTGTATCATATGTCTTATTCTGAGGTGTTTAGTGGAAATGCATATTTTCTTGTTTTCATATATTAGGGAAAGATAAATAAGGGTGGAAATAAATAGTTTTTTTCTTTTAACATCATTACATTTGCTTGAGAGTTTGAGCCATTGTTATCCTCACTGGTAATAAGTGTGCATTTGAAAATATCTTTTTAATGTCCTGTAAAAGAGAAAAAATCTTGTTAGCTTGTTGTTTGCCATGTTATATAATGTTATGTTACCTATATAATACCAAATAGTAATTTGATATATACTAGTAGAGTTTGGGTTGATAATACCTAGGTATATAATATTTGTCTTTAAACATAAATCGTGTGTTTTTTTGGTGTTTTTAAACTTTTAACACAGAATATGAATATGTGTTTTGAATAATTGTAACTATATATGACTAATAAATATATTTTGCTTATTTTATTGCCTAGATTAATAATCTATAATTAATCGAAACTTAAAAATGAACAGAGTTTAGGTGTCGCCGTGTAGGTAATGGAATCTTTATCAAATATAAAATTAAGTTACATTAGTTATCTATAAATCATTGTATCTTAAAAATGAAAACTGAAAAGGTAATTATTTAAGTCATGTTCACTCATGTTAGGTACCTATACAATGTATAGATATTAATTGTGTTTAATTAAAAACCTAAAAACTAATATTTTATGATTAATGAAACAAGTATAGTTGTATAGACTTTAGAAAACAAAAGTAAATAAATAAATTGGTGTTAGAATAACAAATATATTATAATACTGTTATAGTTATATTAACGAAGAAAGAATAATATCTAAATATGTGTGATACATTGACATCGTTGCGATTTAGCAATGATATAAATAGTTATATGGTAGTAGGCAGTGACTTGGAACTTGAAAAGATTCAATACAAATATAGATATGATACCTTTATTATTTCAGTTGACTATTATACTAATTTATACGTGTATTCCAAAAACATGTACTATGAAGTTAATTATTAATACTAATAGCATTATTTTATAAATTAAAATTCTAAGATTCACCAATGTTTTCATGTTTAATATTACATGGTATAGGTATTGTGTATATATTTTATTTTCAGACCCTTTCAAACGTGCGCATATGTATATATTATATACTTATAATGTATTTAAATTAGTTTTTCACCACCTACAGTTATAAAAAACTGAACATTTTACTGAAATTTCCCAGTTCTGTAGAATGGAAGACAATTGAACAAAATGTATTATGATTTGTGAGTTAAGTGGACATCAATATGATTAATAAATGTTCTTGATAATATAGTTATTCTCTCAGTCGGACAAATGTCGACCATTCTTTTATGACAGATCATAAAATAGGACAGTACCTATATCAATATATATATAATATAGTATGTCCATCTATCCATAGCCGTCGAGTGACTAAATACGAGGGGTGATGGTGTTTTAAATTTGGAAAAATTAAAATTTTTATATGTTTTGGAACAAAATTATTCGATGTTTGTGTTCCAATTCATTAGGCATATTATCATTGTCAAAACCATTTTGAATACAGTAATGAGTTTGACAAGTTTGACAGTTCTTGGTGATAATATTATATACTACATCAAAAATTGTATTCTTAAGTTCAATATAATAAGCTAAATTTAGTCGAACGATATAGATAAAAATAATTATTATTTTTAATATTAATAAATAATATTTTTAAAATTAAGATGGCAAATAATAATAATTATGGTTAGGAGGGTATGGTACAAAGCCATGGATACTCCTATGCACATAGCACCCACCATAGGTTCAAATTTAACCTTTAATTTTCCTCCTTTATAATTGGATAATAAATTGTAATATTGAACGTCAACTTCGTATATTATTAGTCATTAGATGTACAGCATGTGTTTAACGACAGCGTGTGTCGACGTTTTTTCTTTTCAGGTAAACTCATGATGGACGATTTGCGGCCAGGTCTTGGAGGTATATTGGGCTTGATGGACCACGATCACCATCACCATCACCTCCACCACCACCACCCGACCGCGGTGCACGCGGACAAACAACGTGCATCGAAGGGGGCAAGTGACTCGTCTAATGAACTCGGCTCGATGTACGGACTGCCGGTTAACGCGGCCGGCGACTCATCTCACCACAACACGCCGTCCCCAGGACGAGGATCTCTAGCCGAACAGACTAGTACGTATACGCGATTTACAAACCCTTAATTAAATCATTAGTCATTACAGTATACAATTTATTTTAATATGATACATTTTTTTTTTTATAAATTATAACGATCGGCCGTTGACAGTAGACAGTAGTCGAATTATTGGCACTAGATAGTAGATTACTAGTTGCTACTATAAAGAGTTTGTGAGGGTTTCTTTTGTTATCATTTTATAGAAATTAATTTCTACTTTCCATTCAAACTATAAATATACAATAAACTTATATACTTCTAAAATAATTAATTTAATAATAGCCACCTAATTCCTCAAATTAGGATATTTTATATTGTTGTGAAATAATTTATATAAATTATTAATTGTATATAAATCATCATATGGATTAGTGCATTACTTTTTTAAAAATATCATAACTCACATAAGTTTTTTTTGTAAAGTAATTGACACATTTTATATTATTCTAAAAATTAAATTAAATATCTTTTAGATGAATTTATAGTAACTATAGTCTATAGGTAAAGTAGGTACCTAAGCGTATATTCTCATTGTATATAAAGATATTACCTAATTTACTTTTTCAGTATCATGAAAAATCATACTCTATAATTAGAACACTGTGCTATTACAATTCTACCTACATTGAAAATTTAAATAAATATTGTCATATAACTGCAGTGTTAATAAGAATGATTCACCAATAGTAGGTAGTAGGTACTTAAGTCTTTTACTATTATGCAATGACAACGAGTGTCATACAGACGTACAAACTTATTTTTTAAATTTAATTTTATGATTTTTCCACCATAAATTATTAGGCACATAAGTTTTTTGGACATTTTCATGAGCCTAAAAACGAATTATAAATTCAACGAATTAATTTCTGAGCTCTTGAAATTAATATACCTACTAATATAGTTAGAAGTTCTTAATAACGACTTTACGTCTAATTTTAATAAAATATAGAATTTATAAATATATTTAATATTTAGACTAGCAGGTATAGGATATAGGTAGGTAAGTACTCACTTATTATACTATGAACATTATTCGAATTTATAAAATTGTTATAAATAAATATTAAATACCTTTATATTTAGTTAGTTATAAATATTACTATAAACCATATATGCTAAGCCTACTAAACCTAAGATTATTATGGTTCACTACTATATCTTGAGTGTAGTGTAATAACCTAGAATTAACTAATTCAAATTTATATTTATATTCATTAATATTTAAAAATAATCATTTCTCTAACAGTTTATAATAAAGAAGGGTGGTTCTCATTTGTAAAAACAAGTTTGTATCTCAAAAGAGCACTTTTTATATGATATAAAAATTTTAGAGTTTTAAAATATGATATTTAATCATGAATATTTCATAAATCATAATTTTAATAAAACCATTGTTGTTGAAAAATGGGGCTGAGCCATCCTGTTTACAAGCTTTGAAAACGTAGTTACTTCGTGTATTATATTATGTCACACTAAATAAATATTTGTGGGTACTTTTAATAAGAAAAAAACAATGCTTGCTTCTAAGTATCGAAATAGACATAGGTGGGCAGGCGTTTTCTTGCATAAATGTGTAATAAATATAAATAGTTGAAATTTTGCTACATTTTTAGGGCTTCTTCTTCTTCTTTGCGTCTTCAATCGTTTGATTGATTTGCTGCTGTTCTCCATGCTTCCCTTTGATAAATTAATTCCTTTAACTTTTTAAAGCTATCCTTTCTCATGTCTATCATGATTTGTTTCATGTATTCGATCCTTGGTCTTCCTCTTCCAATAAAGCCTTCTACGTCTCCTACTAGGTATAACTCTTTTCGTTAGGCTACCATAGCGTAGTGAGCATCCTTTATTTTTGTCTTTTATAACTTTAATACTGTGCCACAATTATCGTTTTCCCTTTATTCTAATTGATACGACTTCGTTTGTTATTCTTTCAGTTCATTTAATCTTAAGCATTTTGTAATAACACCACATTTCAAAGGCCTCTAAGAGGTTACTTTTTATAAATAAAATGGATGTACTTACCTATATTTTAAAATATTTAATCTAATTATGTACTAATTTGTTAAATAATATAGCTAACTAGGCAAATATTTATATATTTATGCACGATGTTGTAATTTTAAGTTTTAAGACAATATTTATTTTATAGCTATTTACTTTTAATTCCTAATTACAAATTAATATTTTTGTTCGTTGTAAATGTACTTATAAAGTTGTCTATATTCATATAGGTAGTACACTAGTACCTATAATACTTCTATAATTCTCTTGAATAAATTACAAGCATTCAAGAGGATTTTCATACTCTGAACTTTATAGTGTTTGATGTTCGTGCTCCATAAACATACAAACCGAGAATTTTTAATTAAAAGCAAACTTTATAAAACGCGGAAATACCTACAGCCAAAAGATGAATGTAATTTACTAACAAACCATAACAATTTGAATAATGTGAATAATGTTATTATTTAGTATTTTACAAAAGCAAAATGTAAACTGTTATTTTTAGAAATAATAAAATCAATAATATTAATGATGGGTAGCCGTATAGATAGGTTTTTGTAACCAGCAGTTTTAAATCCAAAACCTATATATTTGTGTTGGGTAGTGATTACGTGGAAACTATATGTTATTAATTATGTAAACAATTTTTTTGAATTTTAGCATCTGAAGGAGCGTTTAAAAAATTGAAAACAGAACCTTTGACATCTGTAGGTAGCATAAGTGGAAGTCATTCTGGACACACGCCTACTACGGCAACGTGCCCGACTCCAGCAAGACGAAGACACCGTACGACTTTTACCCAGGTCAGTAACCGATAACGGTATATAACACGCCAATATGTAGTTATTATGCTCGTTGTAACTTGTATTTTATGCGAGCATGTTTTTATAATTGTTCATTATTTTGTTTTTTACTTAGGAACAACTGGCAGAGCTTGAAGCTGCTTTTGCCAAGTCTCATTACCCTGATATCTATTGCAGGGAGGAATTAGCAAGAAGTACAAAACTCAATGAAGCTAGAATACAGGTAAGTTTCCATAAAATACTGTAATTATATCGGGTACCTTTCGCTCTGATATCGTATGTAATTTAAAATTATAAGACTTTTAAATTAAGTATAATTAAGAATTGGTAACAATAAAATAAGTTATCCTATAGGACGATCAGAACTTTTTTAGTATTTTTGCTGCATACAGGCATGATCAGTTGTAAATGTTGTACAGTTATTTTCATGTAATTTAAAAATTCTTATATGTATAGGTACATTTATGTACTGAGTGTGAATATTCCATAGGCTAAGTAAAATCGTTGATTTTTTTGAATGTAATATTTTACCTTCATCGACGACACCTGCAGCCGATTAAACGTATTTTTGGGTACGGATTTTTCTAAATCGCTTTCGAATTTTTTGTTTAAATGTAAGCAAAATAACTCAGGTACCTACAGTAGTTAATGACTTATTAATAAGTAATGGCATATAGTCTGTGTACAGTACGTATTATGGGTGCTATAATAATGCCTGTATAATACTTATATAATTAATATATGCAAATTCATAGACTTGAGGCGTCCGGTGGCACTGTTATTTTTTCACAAAAATACTCTTAAATAAAATAATGATCCTGTCTTGTTGAATCAAATTTGATTAATTTTTTTAAACTCATATAGAGGAAAATATTTTGCAAGCCACATTGAACACTGTTTTAAAATTTTTTATTTCAAGCTTTATAATATGTTTTTAAAAATATGCCCAAACCTAAGTTTTTTACAAATTATTTATTTTATTCTTTTATTTGAAATAAAATACAAAAATCGGACATCAATGCGGCCTGTACATGTTTGTTGATATATTACACCGTATCAACCCCCTCCTCTAAATATTTATCGGGCAGCAGATTATTTAAAAAGTATTATAATTAAGGTGGCAAATAAAATATAAAATATAATTTTCAAATTTAATAGACTTGTAGAAAATTTGAAAAATTGGCACCGGGCTCCTTATTGATAAAAGTAACAATAAACACTATAAATATCATAATAAAAGTAACTTCGTTAAAGACAAATGGATTATCTAGTTTGAAAAAAAAATGAAATAATAAAGTTCATTTATTAATTTATTACCTACACCCAGTAAATAAAAATTAAATTAATAAAATATGTCTATTATTATAACTTTAAGAGGTTCTTTGAGAATTGAAATAATAATGAAAAATTAGGGTATGGACTTGCAAAATATTAAACCATGAAAACATGAAATAAAATATCCGTCCGAGAAATATGACATTTAATAGTTTGTACATAAGTAGAAAACTTCGAAAATACCATGAATTTTATTTCATGTATTAAGGTTTAATTTAAACTTTAAAGTGATATGTGTTAACTCCACAGACAGTACTACTATGTATAGATATACATTCTAATATAATTATAATAATATAAATAATATAATTTTATATGAAAACCTCCTCTGAATTCGTTCAAACGATTTATTTAAATATACTTGTGAACATTTCAAAGTAGACTACCCTATTCTAAATCAGGTCCACGTAGAACACAATATATTGTTTTTAATCAATTACATTACACACGTGTATATAATATGATATACATGTTATCGATGGTTAATTACTACATGTTTGATGTTGTTCTGAAATGTTCTGTACCAAATTGTAGGACGTAGGTATAAATATAAAATAGGTAGTTAATTAAACGCGAGTTATGCATAACCAATGATATCCATGGTCATTTAATTCTGAAACTGTGTACCACCAATTAAAAATTATAAAGCTTCACACATTATTTGTATGCATGATAAATCGTGATGTATAAAATAATACAATATATTATAATATAAGAGTTATATGTATGACTCGCGTTTAATCGCGATGGTATCGAGGCAGAGTGAGTCACCGACTTTCCCTCAATCATTGTCCCCAAGAACATCACACAGGGACCACTGTAATTGAATTTATCATCCAAAATGTATTTCCGGACACATAAAGGGATACGTTTTCCCTGCAGGGTTTTAAAAGGCCATACTTTCCCGAATATTTTATACACCCACACACCATATAGTGATAAAACGAGTTTGTAATGACTTGAAAAGGGGATAGGATGTTTTTGCATTGGACAATGACGATGACGATGTTTTAGGTATGGTTTCAAAACCGAAGGGCCAAGTACAGAAAACAGGAAAAGCAATTGCAAAAGGCTTTGGCCCCGCCCTCCATGCTTCCCGGATGTAACGGGGCCGCCATGATGAGAAACATCTACCCTTCAGCGTCTAGAACGTACCAAGCTTACCCGCACCCGAATAGCATGAACAGATACCATCCGCAGGTAAAGAATATTATTATTATTATTATTATTCTAACGTAGTTAGAACTCGTTAAATATATTCTGTACACAGCATGTTTCTAATAGTGGTTTGATGCACATAATTATAAAATTTATATTGCATAATATTATTTATATAATGTAATTGTATTAAACATTCGATCTATTGATGTCACTAATCACGTATCATCAATAATGGTTTTTTATTATAATTATATCTATAATTCCATAATAGTACTATGATTTATGAAATTATGACTTATTAACAAAATATAGGTACCTTAGCCACATAATAAATCTATTTAGGCCCATTTTAGCATGTTATTGAATTAAAACCTTTAGGTTCTGTTGCTTATAAATTCAAATTATTACATTTATTATAATAAAAAATTCATCTCTAATTATATTTAGTTTTCGGTAAACTTGTAAACACAACAAATTTTTTTTTTAGATGTCATCTAGTTCTTACATGTCTACTGCTGTGATGAGTCAACCATTTACAGTCACAAGTCATCATTCAAATCCAACTGCTTCTTCTAATCAGTCATCTATTACAACACCAGCAGGTATGTAATAATCGGCTTATATTATTATTAATATTCTGTAGGTAAACTATTGTTTTATTAAGCCACTTATAAGTAGTACGCATGGTAAAGTTACTTCTTTAATTCTAGACTTGAATATAAACAAGTTTTACTATCGAGGACAACAAATATTGATTATTACATTCCTTAATATGATTATTGTAACTATACAAAAAATGAAATAAATTGAATTGTTATACTATTAATACAATAATTAAGGTTAGAGTTTTTAATGTATGTTTTAAATAATTAATCAATAATAAATCAATCAGTTTGAAAAACTATTTCCACTGTAGCCTAATCCATTTATGAATCATAGAAAAGTTAAAAGATTATTGAACATTTTTGAAGATTTTATTAAAAAGTACTTACTATTTTTGGTTGTATTTCAAATCAATACACTATTTTATTAAAAACTGTTCGTTAAAATATCAAAAAATCCATTGTTATAGGACGCAATACACTCTATGTTTATAAAATAATTACAACATTCTAATAGGTTATAAAATAATTATAATCATAGAGACATATTATGACAACCAAATAATTTACGCTGTATAATTATACCACCGTCAAAGTTTTTTAAAACTTGTTTAACAACTTTTAAAAAACTTTAATAAGAAATAATTAATTTGCCTTAAGCGTCCTACAAAGTTATCTAATACAACTAGGAATTCTATCATTGTCTGAATACACTCAGTTTTTATCTATTTTCATTTTATTGATTTTCCTAAAATATACTAAAATACTTCAACAATAAAGTAATAAGTACATAGGTGGATCAAGGGAATTCTAAATGCATTGTATGTTATACATATTCATAGAGTACATTCGATTACCATAAAATTTAAACATATTGAAAAAATAGTTAATTAAATATATTTACTAAGCTTTGTAGATAAATATTCAATTGATGAAAAAATTTAACAAGATATAAAACAAGATAGTTATAAAATATTTGACATTCTGAAAGAATTTGTTCAATTACGAAAATAAGCATGAATATCCACCATCTATTTATTCCATATTCATATATTATGCTATAATATCGAATAATTAATAGCATAGCGGAAAAAAAGTAAAAACCCTGAAATAGAATACGTATACAAAAAATACAATAACTCAAAATACTGAGTCAAAAATTAATGTTATGTAGTGTAATTTTTATTTCATAATTTTTGTTTTTGCTGAATGTACATATTATGTTGAGTCTTTTTAAATGAATTAGTTTGTATTTTTAAATTCAGTAAATGAGATAACAAAAATATATTAGGATGCGCATTGTGCTTTAATGAATTATTGTGAGTTGATTTTTGAATTAAACGATTTGCAACTGTTAGCAACTGTTAGGATGTTAATAATATATAAATTATATGCATAAGATATATTAAATTATATGATGTATTTATATTGCTATTATAGAAATTTATCTTACTAAGTATCATGCAGTTATGTAGGTAGTGCCTAGGTTGAAATAATTTTTACCAGTTATTATAATATATATTTATATCTTATTGATATACTTATATTGTAGTTATGAACATTTGAGTCAATATCGACTTATCGTTGAACCGTGTGAATTTAGGATCATTCTGGAGCGAACGCAGGGGGGTTTTGGGGGTTTAACCTCCAGTCCCGAAATATCAGAAATAAAAAATAAATTATCTGACCTACTAATGTATAACTAATAAAAAATTCAAAAAATGTCAAATGTCTAATTATAGGACTATTCAAATATTTTAACGGCAACTTCCTTTTTTTTACACTGGAAATTTGTTTAAAAAAAAAGTAATTGTGAAGTAATTATCTATTGTTTGGGTTTTCAGGAATGATGCCAGAAGAAGAATGGTACAATAAAAGTTTATCGGCATTGCGGATGAACTCCGGACATCATCCAAACCTCACCACACCAATGTTACAATACCAGACATAGACCTGTGATACTAGATGCATACTATAATTGTATGCTAATTGAATTATTTTAAATAATTATTGTATAACGGGCTGAATCGTTCTTGTTTTTTGCGCCATTTTTTCGTGTACTCCTATAAACCTCAATAGAATAATCTTCAAAGTCTTGAAACACGTTTTGCTGATTTGTGTACAAAAATACCGTAGAACTTACTTCAATCTATTTATAAGTTATTCATAACAACGGGTGTACCTATATGTAAATATATAATATATATTTTTTGTTTGGTTTGTTTTTTATCACTTCTGAAATTCTTTAAGATTTATTACTATAGATGTTTTTACGTTTTTTTTCGATTTTTACGATTGGATTAATATTATTGAACATAATCTACAATTATAACATAATTTATATTAAATAGTAACTATTGTAAACGGAATTGTAAATATACACGTTTTAATTATGTAATAACAATATGTTGGTGTGTGTACCTACCTAATTTTCTTTGATTTGAAATATAATATTTGACTAATTTTAGTTGAGTAGACTTTGAACTTTTATCAGTTTCTGTAAATATAAGTTTAAAAACATTCATCAAAAATAAAATTATTTACCTATCCGAATTCGTAGACAAGAAAAATTTAATTCAAACTACCTGTATAGTTTTTCATTTGTGTAATATTTTCATTATGATATACCACACCATAAAATAATATTATCATTGTTATATCCAAATTTGCGTCTTTGAATCTACATCTTGAATACCACTATTACTTCAATACAGCTACATAATACTCACATGCATTTACTAAATCGCTTACTGCATAGGTATTTATATTAATATATTCTAGCTGATACCGTGCACTTCGTTGGCGGTAAAAAATGCCATCACTTTAATAATAACCACCCCATAATTACTCAATCATAGTTACCTAAGTTAGTACAATATCTTTAGCCATGTTAACCCACATTGTCAAAGACAACATTTTACAAATTATTTTCTATTTTTTAAATTATTTTATTTTACTGGACAGATGCTTATTCCTATGTTATATCTCAGTACTTAGTGAACAGAAGTTGGGTCCATAATACTGTGCTTTAAACCTGCTCCTCGAAGTAAAAAAAAACATCATGACTATCAAATGAGTGGTCCCAGAGTAAAAATTTCCATTTTCACATTTATGATTTATATATTATATACTTAGATTAGATGTATAACAAATTACAGATCATTGTTTGCCGTTTATGTCACACTCAGCGAATTTGTTTAGGTAACTGGAGGGTTTTTAACCGGGAGGGTTGTCATCACCTACGGGGTATGTAGTTGATACTTGGGGTCCACAGAGTGGCTGAGAATTTTTTTTAAACGATCCAAAAAATTAGAAAACTTTGAAATTGAATATTTATAGTTTATACTATCAACTTTTTTGAATGTATATACTTTATCATTTTGGTAAGTTCGAGAGATCGTTCATATTTCGGTGCAAAACGGTAACGTGCGACTAACGGAGGGTTAACTAGGAACTTAAACTAACCTAACCTAACACTTTGAATAAAATGATCCTGAGTTGGTTTCCTATTTTAGTGTTTGTTTATCTAGTTGAACTTTTGATTGTTAAAATTTGAAGCAATTTGAAGCACATAATATAAGCCAGAGCCTATAGAGACTCATCGTCGCTAATATGTGTTTCAAGTTACCAGCCATAGGTCTATTCATAGTATATGATCAAAGGTTAACACATTAACTGTGCTTAATCTAAACTTGAAAGAATGTTTGGATGTAAATGTTGAAATTAACTAGTATTAATAATATATAAGTATGTTTTGGTCCCGTCTTACAAGTTCGTATCAATTTCAGCATATCTAATTTAGCAATGATAGTTTAAATATTAGAATGATTAATTTATTTGAAACAAACGAAGCTCAATGATAACTACTGAACTAAAATTTGACAAGTATCACACTTGAATACTTAGAGACAATACATAGAGGTGAAAATTCTCATTAAAAGCAACTTATGTTTTACTAATTTTTTAAGCTTTATATATTTTGTAAAAATTCTAGGAAGATATTGAGATTTGGAGAAACCTTACAACATATTAAAATAATTTTGTTTTGGATTTTTGAAGCATTATTTGTAAGGTAAATTCTTCCCCTGCAACCACCAATAATCGACACCACTAAAATATTTATAATTATTAATGGTTCTATAATTTATAATACTTCAACTTACCAACGTATTTTCAATTATTTCCAAGGACTTTACTATAATATCCTAATTAATGTAGAATTATATTTTCTTTTTTTCTTTTTTTTTAGCTTAAATCATCTGCAACTATGGCCATAAGCATTTCGTGGGGGGTTGTGGTTAAGTTTGAGTAACACTTTTTTATGTGGAGCTAGCGTTCTACATTTTCCATTAAAGGCCATTATTATTTCACTAGCAGGGTAATATTATTTCCAAGTACATACTTCATTCACAAAATCCATCGAAAAATTATTAAATAATTATTTATATCTAGTACCGCAGAAGTGCAATATTTTTAGCAAAATTAAAATTCCTTACAATAATTATTTTATTACCAACTGTCAGCAAAGTAGTATTTATGAATTCTTTCATTTTGACAAATATTTCTTTTATAAAAGGACACAACAATTTATAATTTTTGCATAGTTTCTACTTATATGATAAATGTATGAAAATTATTAAAACTGTTAAAGTTACATTATCTAATTATTTTGTATAAAGTTTAACTATAGGGTCACACAATCAAGAAACTAATTGTTGTGAAAGTTATTTTACATGGGGTGATCAATTTAACGTAAGACACTTCTAATTTTATTATTTTTATTTTATATTCTGAAGCAAAATATTTTTTGCGTACTTAGATTATATAAATCAAACTTCGAACAAGTAGTTTATTTATTATACCTGTGTATTTAAAGTTTATATGAACTAAAATTATGATTTTAAAGCTCAAATTTGATCTAAGTACTTCGCACTTATATGTTAGTTATTACATTTTCCTAATATTTTAACAGAAATTATGAAGTTTAAAATATAGAAATACCTATAATTACTGCACAGTGAAACATGGGACATACTAGTATAGTTAAATGCTATAATATGGCACATAGTTCATAGTTTTGTTTTATTTATAATACAAATTTAAGTTTCATTCATTTTTCATAAATTGATATTGAATAAAGTTCGATTTAAATGAATCGAATAAATCAAACAAAATCATTGATTTAAAATATTTTTTTTAGAAACCATTTTTAATTATTATTTATTAATTTAAACTGCAGTTTTTTAATAAAGACGTTTCTATAAAGTATTTTTTGCATTTTAAGTGCATACTTTTGAATTTTTTAGTGAATATTTTCTCTGTTTTTAGTGCACAAAAAATGCATGAGTATCTAAAACTTTTTTAGTGAATTCAATTCACAGCCTTAGTTATTACTTATTGCTTTTCTTTCCAATCATAATTTATTATTTTAATCATAGTAAATGTTAACTGTCTACAATCTATAACTTCTTCAACTTGATGACACTATTAAAAGGAAGGATTGGAAGTTGATTATTTTTATAAAAAGTGTAAGCTCTTTGAGCATTGTAATTGTAAACCAAAAGAAATAATGTATGTATTTAATGATTTAATATATGAATATGATGTTAAATAAGTAAAAGTAATAGACGATAACAGGAAAAAGTTGGGTGTCATACAATAGTTATAAAAGTAATCACTGGAAAACAAGGTCAAATAATTCATGTTTCACCACTCATGTTCATTGCAATCATTGCAAGATATTAATACAATATTTTTGAAAATATAATTATCCACAGACCCTTTTATCAGCTTGTTTTAAGGAAATTAAGATCTGCACCAACCATACAGCTTCGGTCAATATAATAAGCTAACCCAGTAACCGGTAAGTGAAAATGTACAAAATGTTACAAAGTTAGTTTATCATTATGGTTGCTCTCCAGTGAGGAATCCAAAGAAATCTTTTTGACTGCTGTAGGGCAAAATTCAGATTTTTAATTATCTACTTATTTGTTTCGTCACAAAATATAATAATTATGTCCTATTCTCCCTTATCTAGTTCTCCCTAACTATACAGGTTTAGTCACCCTCTATCAATCTCTTCTCCAGTCTTCTCATTACACTCTCTCCCCCTAGATTTAAGGCCACTTAGTAAGTTTAAGGTTGAAGGCCACCATTTATAGCCACTCCCACTACTTCTTGTCATATAGTTACCGACCTCACCCTATTCTCTCTTGTTTTCACTACAATATGTGCCACTCTTACACTACCATTAATGAATTAATTCCTCACTCTCTCCTTCTTTGTTCCGTAAACACCCAACTCAACATTCTCATATCTACTACACTCACACTCCTTATCTTCGCCATATCATACACTTCCTATGCTAAGCTATATGTTTCTAGCCATTACAGATGCTATATAGTTAAAATAACCCGTTTAATGTTTAGCTTTTATCTTACCTATACCTAGTTATTATGTGTTAATTTGTGTTTGAAATATTTTATTCAAGAACTTGTTAGTTAATATTTCTCCACTAGGCACGACAAGTATAATATATAGCTATATAGTATAGTATAGTTTATACTATATAGTACATATAGCACATATCTTCTAGAATTTGGCTTCTGGTTCATTTTTATTTTAATAATAATTCATACATGGACTAATTATTAACTGATTAGTAGGTGTGTTTATTTTATTTCAACCACTTATAAATATTATTCCAATTAATTACATATTTATTTTTGGAATATTGTGTTTAAGAAAATAAATAATTATTGCAATAAATTAGAGTTAGAAATGTAATGTTTTAAGATTTTGGATGATATAAGAACGCCTGTGTGTATGCATTACACAATTTATAAATATACCCTAATGGTACTGGTCAAGTTAGAGTAACTACTTATGTGGAACGTCGTTGTAAATTTTCAATCCTAATAAGCTATACAAGCTGTTTTATACATTTTTAACTGCCAAATAATTTGTACATTTTCAATTTGATACATTTTGTCAAAATTTGAACTTTGAATGCTACTAAAATAAAATCTAACCTATGTATTAAAATATTTTTCAACAGCTATTATATTAATATATAAGGAGGCTTGAGAGAAATTCAAAACTAGGCTTTGAAATTCACAAAAGTAAAAAAAAATCAAATATTTTAATCGTGCCTATAATATTCTTTCTCAGATCGGAATTAATGTGTTATTTAAGCATTATTATTCTATAAATAGTGTGCACTGTGTAGTCATTGATGTATTGCTAAAAAAAATTGTGTGGTTCTATACTTTACCACGATACTAAGTAACCAGTAACCACGATTAACTATACTAATAGATACCTATATACATTATACACAATATCTATGTAGGTACCTGAGTTATGCTTTTACTTAAAAATAGGTCACGGTGGTAAACAGCGAA